TCATTGCACCGCCGTCGCCTGAGGGGTGATTTGATTTAGACTTTCAAACAGCTTAAAGGACTGTCAATAGCAGATACATCCTGGTTTGTGCCAAATCTCAATCCAACTCTCAGAGAGTATGCCCTGAAGCTGATGAAACTACGGGCCAACGGAAGTGCCAGGGCACAAACGTTCTCTCACCGCGTCGTAAACGCATGGAACAAGCTTCCGTCTACAGCAGTAGCAGCAACTAGTGTCCTGCAATTTAAACGAAGACTAGACAAATGCTAGGAAGAGGTGTTTCCAGAGTATGACTAGCACAAGTTTCAGTCACTACCCACATCCCCCTTCTGTAGCCGTTGTCTATTTCACCATCACTTCTTTACATCACACATCTCACGCACAATTGCTACAACATCTTTTTTATCAGCCATGGGTAGCTCTCATGGCAGGAGCATCAGTCCGCTGAGGTGCGGCGTTTGTCAAATGATTGAGATTGAGATTGAGAGGGCGATCCTGCTCTTTATCTCTTATCTTATAAGTAAAACATCCAACACACAACTGTGTAACTACCTGGCGGTCGTAGCACAGTGAGAACCACCAGCTCACAAGTGCAAGAACCTAAACGTCCACTAACCTTAGCCTAAAGTTCTGTGACCTGACCTAACCTGACCTAACTGGGACAGCTACTCCACCCCCAATGTATCCCCTTTCCTATCCTGTTTGTGGGTTTTGAACCGGCCTAAACCTGGTTCGGGTATGTCGCTATCCTGAGTTAAACACATTTTAGACAGAAAAATTACGTCGGCCATGGTCCCCGCAGCCACTGTAGCTAGCTCGGCCTATTTGTTTCTACTACTAAATGCATTGGCGGCAATAATAGTAGAGCTCCCTTTTCCCCTAGATAGTGCTTTTTATTTACTCTAATTTTCTCCTCGAGCGTTACACCTGGGCCAGAGTACCAGCCACTGCTGCGACCACCGTTTCTTCTAGCTCGGGAAGCTTGTAAGGACATGCGGGTCCCTATGACAGCATAGACTGTTCTGAGTCGGTTATGTGCGATCCGATTTGAGAATTCATTCCTCACGTGAGGTCTTCCAATATATCCTCAATCATTATCCCATTCGGGTTTGTCAAAATCCGTGGTAATTTTGGCCGTTGCTTTAGCGGACTCATAGTACTCTCGCGTCCTGTTATATGAGTATGCAGTCTCCTATTTGGAACCCGCAAATGGGGTTCATCGGGGACGATTTTGATTCACTCTTTAATAGCGCTCCACACTAAATCTGTTCGGGATAGTAGCACATCTCTATCTAGTGGTTAATGAATTTCTACTAGTATGGATCGGGAGGGTGCCAGCGGTGCTTCCGTGGGTGGTGTTTTCCACCTTCCAACCCGATGTGCTCTCTTATTAACTATGTTTTGCGGAACCCTGGCTAGCCTGAGTATGTTGTAGGCTCTACGACTGTCCATTTTTCTACGGGCGTTTGACTATCTTATATTCGGCTCCTCCTTGTTGAGTATCAGGAGGTTTCTTCGTAGTTCCCCTCTGGGTAAGCGTACTGAAAGAAGGTTACTCACTTGCTTTTTCAGCTGGAGGAGTTCAGCTTCTAACCTGTCTCTATTCTCTTGGGAGGGAATGATATTTCTATGGACTCCAGGCTTAGACCCACGTTTGGGCTTAGCACAGGAGATGACCACGGCTAATCGAGCGTCCAGATTCAACTTAAAGTTTAAATCACAGCACTTGGAGAGGTCTTTGCCTGTGAAATGTCCTGGTAGTGACGTGTTCTGTCCTGGGACTGATTTGCCTGCGAGTTGATATTGTTACCGGTGTATTGATCGATCTGTGAAAATCCTTCCTGTAAAGCCCAGTCAATCTATCTCGGTTCCACATTTCGTGAATTTCACGTTCCATTCACCTAACACCATCCGCCTCATACAAACAAAAACATTTGACATTTACACATCGATCCTATCATTGGACTTTGTAGGTTTATCTGCTTCATTCGTACCCTATTTGTCTTAATCGCAACCTGAGCCCTCACATTTGGCTCGTTCGTGTGCAGCGTGACAGTGAGCGTTCTTGTCTGGACTCATTTTCTTCCGTTCAGATCTGTTGAATTACGCCCACAGTAACACTTGGCTCTTGTTTTCAAGTTGTTTCGAGATCACTTTGAGGTTTGTACAGCTTTTATTTGCTTAGTTGATCGTCTATTAACGCAATACCGTAAAAACTTGCTGGACCGTTCATTTTGTTGACGTTTTGGGATACGATTTCGGTTACGCGTTTTTTGTTGATCTCTTTTGGAGGCGCAGTGCTCAAATTCACAGAATTTGGAACAAGAGAATGTCGTTCTAATAACGAAGAATTGAGGAGGAAGGACAAGAAGTAACTGGGCAAGTCGCTGGGGTACTTGGGTGGGGGGTTCTGGTTCTCACATTTGTAATTTATCTAGTTCTGCTAGTACTAGGAGTTTATGTGCCCCAGATTGCGATGCGTATGTTAAGATGTCTGATATATATCTTCGTAAGGTTGTAGAGTTAGAGGAGGAGATTAGGTCAATGAAGCTTAGGGAATCAGGAGCTGGGCAGCCTTGCTCGACTAAGCACGCCGCGACGGAAAAACAAACCATGCCCATTGA